AAAATAGTGGGTCATGTACATAATGAGTAACTATGTACTGTACACTTAGAAACTGACACATCTTTCTATACTGAGCATAAAACACACTTAAAAACCTGAACTAGAATGTGGAGTATGCAATCGGGACATTGCTTTAGGCTAAACTACATTTTTAATGCAGTGGCCAGATTGCTAGTTTTCAGTTTATTGCCTTTTTCACTGGACTTCAATAATGTTAATGTTTTGCCAGGAAAAAAAAAAAAAATCTTTAGCTCCACCCATCAATTTCAACTCCACCACTGAGTCTTTTCTGGCAGAAGCGCCACTCCAATCTGCCACTTATTCACTGTGTTGATGTACGGACTCCAGCCAGTGACGCTTCAGTCTGCGGTCCACTCCTCTCACCTCTGGAGTCTGACCACCTTCCTCTTCTAATTCAGAACAATGAGGATGATTTTTCACTCACCTGCGACTGTATCGCTGTCCTGCTGGCTACACTATATCCAATGCAGTATAATTGGCAGACGTTCATTTTGTATGGTCCCCATCCAAGAGGATATGACATTGCTGCCAAGTGAGTGATTCTTTATTCACACCCCAATAAGTGGTAATAAGATTGGCTGGCAGTGGTGCTGTATCCAATAAGTTATAATATGATTGGCTGTCGGGATTATGTATTCATACTTAAATAAGTTGTGATATGATTGGGGTCCGGGTGGTTCTCTATCCAATAAGATGTAATGTGATTGGCTGCAAGCAGTTGTGGATTCAATAAGGTCTAATGTGATTGGCTCATATGGATTCTATATCCAATAAGGTAAAATGTGACTGTCTTCCACTGACTTACTTCGCCAAGTGGATTTTTAATGGACAAGTCTGTCGCAGGGAGCTCAGAGCTGCTGCAGCTCCAGACAAAAGGTGATTCAGTGAGCTTTCTAGCAGGTATTTCCCAGTCTACCTCTGCTTTGTGCCAGCAGCAGCAGCACCAGCAGCAGCAGCAGCAGCAGTTAAGGAGGCTTAGCCCACATCCATCTGTAAACCCGCCAAAATATCTCTCCATGTTTTCTCTGCGAGACAGCCAAGCTCTGCATCTCCTGTGTGCTCGCTTCTCTGCGAGAGAAGCTTCCGGAGTGGATTTTGTATTGTTGTGTGAAGATTTACTTAGAAAAACTACTGAGGGAAATATTACCGGCCCAGCTGGGAGAACACATGAAAGGAATTGTAAAGCACCTCTTTCCATGACCCATACTGGCTGCAACAACTGGTGTAATGAATTTATTTTAATTACTGCTCGCTTACTGAACAGCATCTCCACAGTGACTTACAAGAGAGTCTATGCACACTATTTTAGTGTAGCAGATAAGGAATCCCCAGACCCGCATTTGAGGCAGGAACAAATTAAGTACACAGTGTCACCACACCTGAAAGAATGCTTTTGTTTCTTTCAGTAAGCAACCTGGCTTTCAATTCTCCCTTTATTGTGTTCGGACCAAATACATATAATGTTCTGAAACTGCACCAAATTTGTGCAAGAAAAAGTTAATAAAAAAAAAAAGGTATCAAACATCGGACAATCAAAATTTATATAAGAAAAAAGAAAAAAGCACCGGGGCAGATTGAATTAAACTGCACAGAATATGAATTCAGGAACTGCTGTGTCTCAGTTCAAAGTGTTGTTCCTTGAGCCTGCTATTATGCTGAATGTATGCACTCTTAATCTTACAAGCGCTGATGCTACAGGCCTTATACTGTAAGCGCAGTCCTTCCATATGACAATCAAAGAAACTGTTGTTTTTCCCATTCAGGTGCGAAGCTTCTTCAGAGCTGCTCACTGCGAGAGAGAGAGAGACACTAGAAATCTGATTCCTTTGTAAGCAGAGTGCAAACGGGAGGACATGTGGGTGGATGAATAACACCAGCTGTCTCCCATTACAAACAGGATGCGTCCCCTGCTAACAGCAACTAAACATCCACTCAGTTTCAAAAATCAAGACACTGAGGTAGCTTAAAGGCGTTCTCCAGATTTCACATTCTGGCCAGTTCTTAGAGAAGGACAGAAAGTCTTTACTGTCACTGAACACTGTCGCAAAACGAAATCTGCTTCACAGCTCCTCAAAACGTTTCACACGCTCACCAGACACGCACCTGTCCGTGCAGGTAAGCGCCAACGAAGCAGATGAAAAAAATAATACAAGAAACATACATTAGATGCTCTTGCATCAGTGAGGTGTAAATGCAAAGTGTACACTTGCAGTGTTTCAGATCTTCCGTCCTTTGGTGTGTGGTGTTGTGTTGGGAGGGGGGCAGTGTTTGTGGAGTTCAGCTCAGTGATGGCTCTCGACCTTTAAGGCCCTGTAGCACCTTCTGGGGGAGGGGGGGCATTAGCTGCTTGCTAATGAAAGCTAACGGGTGTATCCTATCTTAACCTCTTGTTAATGGAACATTATACGACGTATTATTTAATGAGAGCAGAGGTCTGACACTTGGGGACTAAGGGTCAGACAAAATTAAAACAACTGCATTCCCCAACCTCCTCCAACACCACCCCCCGGCCACAATTTAAAATCGTTTGAGTGTTTGATGAAAGCAGTACATCAAGCTCATATTTCATAAAGAAAACTCACCTGAACTAACCCTGAGGTGGACGCTGTCTGTGACGAATGTAAACACGCCCCTGCCTCACTTCTTCATCTGTTCTGGTCGTGCTCATGTGCAGCTGAATTTTTGGAAATCAGTGTTCCGAACTTTCTCTATGTGTCCCATAGAGCAGAGCCCCATGACTGCTGTCTTCAGGATTCCTCCACTAGAACTGACGTCACCCAAAACCAAACAGGGTGCGCTGGTTTCACCTCTTTACTGGCTCGACACGCTACTATTCAAATGGAGAGATTTTGCCCGTCCCGCTCACTCCCACTGTAGAAATCAATTACTCCACTCGAAAGTCTGTGAATAAGTTCTTTAGAGTTTGGGGCCGTTTAATATCCTTTTTTGAGAAACCTAAGACTGTCATCTCTGAGTAACTATCACCATTATACTGCAAGTATTTATGCATTTTCTTACATTTGGTTTTGTACTTTGTTTTGTTTAATTTATTTAACTAGTTCTGTTTGTAGATTCAAAATACAACCTTTTGGTCAGTGTCATTTGTGGGTTCATTATGTGTCTGTTTCTGAGGTGTTGTGTGGGGGATAACAGCTTACATGCACATTTGTCCAGATGATATTAATAATAAAAAATCATTAATAAAAGGTACTGAGTGACATGTGTGATTCCTGTGAATAATCTTTAGTGAAATATGCCGTCTTCACTTTAGAGACTGTTATTACAGTTGAGGACAGAGGACTGACAGAGAGCTTTGTCACATGGTGCAACAACAATCACTCGAAGCTCAATGTCAGCTAAACCAATAAGCTTGTGGTGGACCACCAGAGAACCAGGCGGCCCCCCTGTCCTGGTGTCATCCAGGGAGAGGAAGTGAAGAGGACGGACTCCTTCCAAGTAAGATCAATAAAAACCTGAAGTGGGCTCACAACACTGAAGCCCTCTTCAGGACGAGACAGATCACGGCATTCCTGAGATATCGCTCTCACAAGGCCGTGGCTATCACCAGCACGGAGGCAGAAGAAAAGCTTTTTTTTTTTTGTATGTCCACAGGTTTTCAACAGATACTGTTTTCAAACTATCCATGGATGGACAAACAGCTACAACTGGATTACTGTGACACTTGAAAACGTGACGATTCTCAACTCTATGATTTCTAGGTGAATTGAAGGGTGTTAATTAAGATGGACTTAACAACGTCCTCGGAAGTCACTCTGAATCTAAAAGTCTGTGCATCAGGTCTGTGCGTGATTCAGAAATGGACTGCGATATTTGAATATACTTACAATATTTTCACGTGTGATCCAAACATGCAGAAACAGTGTTGACACCTCTATTAGTCTAATTAGAGCAATTATAGTTGATGTGATATGGATGTAAAGTCTCAATAAATCAGTCATAATAAAAGTCAGGGCTGAACACAGGGCTACAGCGGGATTATCTGAACCGCCTTCATCTTATTATCACAGTGAGGGTCCTCAACAAGTAATTCATTCAGGCATTTAGTCAAAGCTGACCTTATTGTAATTAAACTGAATATTATGACTGCTCAAATACTGTGTGTCAAAAGCAGGTCACAGCAGAGGTCACCCCTGATGATGTGTTTGTGCACAGAACTGACGTGTTGGCGAGCTGTTGTGGCAAAGGGCAACATCTGTACAGTATCTATTGAACCCACTCACCAGGTTAATACGAAGTACAAGACAATGTTGTGTAACCAGGTCCATCCCCGTGTTACCACCGTGCTGAAGCATCCCCGTGCTAAACCAACTGTCAAATAAATCAGTTACTGTTTGAAAATATGTCAATACTTTGTGCCTTTATAGAACCATTACCTAAACATGAGTTCCTCCTGCATCCATAATTACCTGCTGACAGGCTGTCAACCTGCTAATAATCCAATATAACGGTGTCTTACATAAGCAAAGTTCATGTTGGCTCAACCTAAAGAGTGGGAGTTTGGAATAAAGACTTACAGTTTATCTTACATTGCAGACTGCCTGCTGATCAAATCGCATCAGCGCAGGAAATGGGTCTAACTACAGTGTAAAGACTGATACTCAACATGTAGCTCCACGTCTGAATCTCTCTCACACATCTTCCTTGTTTTTCACAGTATATATACCCTGAGAATACTCGTCAAATGTTTTAAATTGCTTCTTCTCAGACTTTGGGTCCAGTGGGAACGTCTTGTATAGAAAGCAATGATAAGCAGATGGCTAGGGAGGTGCTTGTCAAGGCTGATGTAGCAGAACAGGCGTTGAAAGCCTGTTTCAAGCACGGCTCTTTTCTGCAGGAGAGAAATACTGTTGACCTTTTTGGTGTTCCAACCCTTCAACATCAAAACTCCTCAGCTGTATCTGAAGTACACAGCAGCTTGTTGATTGTGTTGCGTGGACACGTCACAGGTCTCTACTCACCGAGCATGATGAGGGTGGTCGTCCCTTGTTCGTTTCCAGAAGGATAGGTGGCGTACTCGCAGGTGTAGCGGCCGGCGTCGGACATTCTCAGCTTAGAAATCCTGATGGACGGATTCTCCAGACTGTTGTGCAGGAAGGCGACTCGGTCTTTGAAAGCCACGTTGGGGAAACTCTGTCCGTAGATCGGGTGGTAAACAGCAATGTTGTCCCTTTGGCCATCAGTGGGTTCCCAGATCCAAGACACCTGGATAGAAAAACCAGTGGTTAGTGGTTGGATTCGGGAAAGTCGTGGCCATTTCAGAGGTCTGGCACCGGACCCAGGTGGCGGCCTATCCGGGCCCAGTTGTAGTTCAACCAGCACAGCTTTTCTAGCCTTTACAGCACTGGTCACATTACTCTACACAGCCAATCATTGCGGCTCGAGTCGGTGAGTAAGACAAACACAAAGGGTGAGAGACCACGTCTGAGAAATAGGGCGGGGAAAGTGGGATAGAAGAGGTCAAGCCACTGTTTTTATTTCATTTTGTAAAATGAAGCACTTTGTTGTTATGTAGTTGACCACTGACCCAAGTTTCTGGATTTCTGCTTAAAAATTTTGTCTAACTGGACCTTTGATGTTTAATTATTTACCCCTGCTATAGTTGTATACACACAGGCTCCGTTAAAAATACACCAACATAGCTACTCGTAGTTCTTGTTTGCAGTGTATCCGTTGTGCATACAGACATCTATTACTGGCTTACTTTGATATTTTGAAGAAAACTTAAAATCAATATGATTCTCACTAAAGTTCTGGAACTGCCTGAGGATCATCCTATCATACTGATGAAAATAAGGAAAAGTCTTTTTTTTCTGTGCATTCAAAACAGATTTTTTGGATATTTATTTACAGTGGACATCAGAGATATTTATAATCTTGGAAAGTGTAAATGACACTGAACCTTTAATGTGGAGTGGAGATTTTCACCAGAAACTGAGGCAATCAGACGCCTCAGGATACTGACATGCTCCTGTCCCTTTCACCTCACATTTAACAAACAGTCTGTAGTGCAGCAGCAGTATATTATTATATACACACACACACAAAATGATTTGAGATTTCTCTGAACAAATATTGAAATCTGCTCCGGTCTATCACCCACGACACCTGAAAGAATTTCACTTATAGCTGCAAAATATCAAACTCAATTAAAGCTGTGTGAGTTCAGAGCCAAGAATCTATTACAGGATGAAATTAAAGGTCTCTTAGAGCAGCGAACACTCTCTGAAGGACCCCATCGCCATTATAAAGAACACAATTTCAAAGAGAATGGTCTTGCAGGCTTTTCTTCTTAAGATTTCTGATATGTGAACAATATTGATGTCTCTGTATGAGCCTGCACCGCCAGGGAGAACACTGTGATGTTGTACCAAATAGATTTCCTTTTCTTTTCCACTTCCCAAAGTGACAGTTTCAAATACAAACTGCTGGCTGAAGTAGACCAGGAAGGAGAGGGAATAAAGTTCATCAATAAACATTTAGTAAACAGCACAGGGGGCTGAAGGTTACAAGGAGGAAGACAGATTGTAACGCAGATGTCGGAAAAAATGAGAGGATGAGATTCCCTCGTTAGATGTAGATTGTAGGGAAAATATCAGACGGCAGTTAAGTGTCGTCTGTAATTTCAGTTTCTGTATGTGAACAAATTGTCTATTGATTCCGTCCACCAGTCACAGGGGACAGATCACACCAGAAGCTGATAGTGTTTTTGCTTCAGTCTACTTGGTGTGTGATAGCACATCAGAGGAGTTCAGGTGGTGTCAGATAAGTTGTCATCTGGGGTTTGGCGAAATAAATTGACTTTCAAATATTCAAATTAAAATGAGCTGAATGTGAAAACTCTGACAGTGACAGCCACAAGGGAAGGAACTGTCACAAAATATAAAACACTGCTCAGAAAGACTTGACTTTTAGGATGGTTTTCATGGCATATTACCGAGCTAATGCAGGTCACACGACTCGATGTTGATCGCTGTCAACAAATGTCCTTCAGGCAGCTTTGTGTGTTTTTTTTTGTTGTTGCATCGTTTCTGTTTTTGGAGCGTGTCTGCTTTCGTCTTCCTGCAGCATGTTTTTTTCATTTGCGGCTCGTGTCCGTTGTTGTCTTTGTTTTGTATTTCCGTATGTGTTTTTCAATCTGCATCGTTTCTGAAACTGCAGCTCGTACAGACACTGTTTAACACTGCTGAAGGAATTCTGTGATTTCTGTGAATTTTAATCCGTGTGGCGAGTAGGAGCCAACAGGTCCAGAGTATCATTGTTAGCATGTTTGCAAGCTAGCCTCACATAAATCCAACTAGGGTTTGTGATGATATCAGATTTTCACCCACACGATTGTTGCGGCCAAAAGAATTCACGATAACGATGCTATCACAATATCAAAGAAACAATAATAACAATAATAATGTTATAACTTCTTTATTTATCTATTTATTTGATTTTTGGGGGGGAATTTTCCGTGCCGTTATTTGACAGGACAGTGAAAATGAAGAGGAAATGCAGGGATAGAGAGCAGGGGAAAGAATCCGGCCGGCCGGGAATCAAACTGTTCAGGGCGCCCTAACCGGTCGCCCCAGTCCAATCCATTTTTTACTTTATTGTATTATTGTATTGTTTATTGTTTGTTTCAGTGTCATTGTCGGCCGTGTCCAACACTGTAAACTGCCAATCAAGTTTGAGGGTTTGAATCTTTCCGTTTGCATTATTTGCACAAATGAGTCTTACACAATAAATACCTTTAGGAGGAGACTGTCTGAAAATGTGAGCAGTTATTTTCAAGCATACCCAGCTTTAACCCCCCCCCCCCCCCCCCGCTGTGTGCAAATCGCCAAACTCACACATTGCTTGATAGTAATTAAGTATAATATGTAAATCATTTGCTTGTTAAGCCACAATAGTCAAGTTCATATTTAAATTCAGCACCAATTCGAACCAAATTTCCAGAAAACAGACAAAAGAAATTGCAAATTAATGAGCGTTTCGCCACTACTCAAAAAAAAAAAAGGAGTTGGATTTTATAGATAAACAGGTGGCGGCCATTAAAATCACTGCAGAGACGACACAACAAGATGAGAGCAGCAGCTGAACCTCAAGAGAACAAAAATGAGGTGGAGAACATTTATTTCTGCTTCATGTATTAATTTAAGGAACATTCTCCACATCGCTCCGCACAGATCTGAAGTTTCCATTGCACTTCGTCGACACACCAACTTTTTTCACCTCAGCCGAGTGCAAAAACTTTTGTGGTGTTTCATCTTTTGTTTGAATTTCCAGCTTTTCTGCTTCTTTTTTATTCACAAATTGAAAATGCGCATAAAAGAAGTTGGCCGGATCTAATGCAGCTCAGAGTATTCTTTTAACAAGGCCGAGTTCGCAAGTCTCTTTGTTGGCAGGTCCTGATTTTTATCTGCAGAGTGAAAAGATCATGTGGGAGGGATTGACCTTCATGACCTCCATATAAACCATTCTTCTCCTCATATTTTTCCAATGACTTCACTCCATTAGCTTTAACCACCTTGTCAGTCTTTCTTTGAAATTCACTGGTTCCAAACCTACTAAAAAGCACAATTTCATCCACCGACCTGCGTGAGCTTGGTCCGGCCTCCTCCATCGATGAACTGGCAACGGAGATCCACGGACTCTGTGGGATACGCCTCCAGCTCCTCTTCCACTCGCACTTTCTGAGCCCCGATACCTACAGGTGAAAAGGAGACAAAGAAAAAAATATATAAAATATAAATATATATATATATATATAAAAAAAAGAAAATTATATATCTATTTTATATATATTTTAAAATAAAATAATTCATCATGTTGGTTTGAAGTGAAACTAAAAGAGAGAGCGAACAGAGAGTAAAAGGGAGAAGACGGAGTCGGGGAACACTTGAAGACGAAGCATTCGAAGTATTTCATTATGAATCTGGTGTTGTTTTAATGAATTTGCTGTGAGTGATGTTTTTCCCTCCCACTCGTTTTGCTTTAGTCAGAAGGGAGGATCGACCTCCTTTATGTGTGCGAGACGCTTTAAAACAAGGTTATAGAGAACCATGATGGAAACAGAGACAAGTTCATTAAAGAGGAAGAAGTTAAAAAAATCTGAATCATGAGCCTTTGATAAGAAGCCTCAGGCAGAGTCTTAGCCAACTTCCTTCAGCTAGGCCCTCATTACAGTAAAGCTTGTCTACCAGGAGGCATCGCTAGGGGGCGGGCCTCTAGGAACACCACAGTGGCTCGGGCGCTGCTTCTCTAATCTATTTGAAATTCAGTTAAAGGCGCCTGCGTCTCTTTGCTTGAGCATGAAAAGCAATGTAGAAAGAGCGCAGCGGGTCAGACGAGCCGGAGCAGGTTCACCCAAAAAAAAAACAAGCCTGGAGATCTGCCCTCAAACTTAAACAGAGATGAAAGGTGGACGGTCCGAGCCGAGGCTGTGAAGCACCTGCTGATCCGCAGGCCGCGTCAGAACACTGAGTGCAAATTGGACAAGTGGAATGAGTTTTCTTAACATTCGTCTCTTCTTCTGCAATCGACTGACTCGACTGTGCGTCTGCTGCTGAGGCTCAAGACTTCTTTTGATCCTATACTTTCCCCTTTTTTCCCTTTCTGTAAAAAGAAAGTAAGAAGTGCTGCTGTGATACCTTGTTTTTTTCCCCAAACAAGTCAGCATCGCTACTGATTCTGTCAGGTCTCTGCTTTCAAATACACTCCACAGGAGAGCACGGCTTCTACCGAATTTCAGACGGATTTGACAAATAAAACTGATGTAGCAGAAAGTGCATTTGAGGCTTTCAACAGAAAACTTTAAACTCATTTGCATGTGAGAGCAGCAGGAAACCATGAGCAGGACCAATTCTGCTAAACAACAGGATTACAAAAGCCTCTCCTCGATACCGTCTGGTTTTCGACTGCATGTACGCCTCGTCTTGTCGCGTAGCACCTTGTGAAGAACGTGTTCATTAAAAGCAATCCAGCAGCTGACACGAATTGTCCCTGCCTCTTAGAAATGGCTGTTTTTATTTGGATTAGTTGTCAACAAGCAGCTCTCTACCAGTGAGACAAATTGCTGCAGTAACAAAAAATGACATCTTATATACACATACATATATAATATACTGTGTGCTGTATTGTAAACAAATGAACTGTAATGAACTTGTAATCCTTAGAATCATGAGAGGGAGAGAGAATGGCTCAAACAGAATAAGAAAAAAAAAACAAAAAGAGAAAGAAGGATCAGAGAGAGCAACATAGAAAACTTGTAATCCTTCATTAATGCAATCTAGACTGAGTCCACAGCTCTGTGTGTTTCGCCTCCACATACGACCATATGAGGCTTCAAGTGACATTTTCAAGAGGTTTTCGATTGTTCATGTCTTGGAATCGAGTCATTCTGCCTCATCTTTCCTCCTCCACCCCCCCTCGCTCTCTGCCCTCTCATCCAGCCTCTGCGCCTGTAAAGATAAACTTCTTGCGGGGAGCCTGCCTCTCACTCTCTCCATAAGAACAGGGGGATAAGCATTCGCTAACCGCTGGCTAGCCCCGGGTGGTTCCACTGCAAAAAGCCTCTTAGTGCGTGAGGGATTGATTAGGACAATATGTTACATGTCACAGCGTGGAGGTGAATGGGCTGGCTGGGATTTCGCCTACAAATCAGCTGTAAAACACAGTCACACAAACAAAGAGTGTGAAGTGTGTGTGTGTGTGTGTGTGTGGGGGTGTGTGTGCGTAGGGGGTGTTGATTGTTTTGGATTTACAGCATGTGTGCAGCCACGTGTCCGCCCATGTGTACAGGGATGAATTTTGTGTGTAACTACACATGTATGCTGAACAGTGGGTGTGCATGTGTGATTACTGTACATCTGTGTGTGTGTATGTGTGTGTGTGTGTGTGTGTGTGTGTATGTATGTGTGTGCATAAATCAGACCATCTCATTGTAATGTGAGTGCATATGAGACTGACTCAGTCACTGAACCACAGTCTCTACCCTGAGGGAGACAATGGGCTGTCAACGCAGTTATCCGTTCCCACTGTAAGACAGATATGCACACACATGCAAAACACATAAATGCAAACTACAGGCTGCCAGACGAGTTCCTCCACGGCCTGTAGCACCAAGAGGAGCACGTGTGAACCGAGAGTTCACCTACGTCTCTGATTTCTCCCTCACCTTTCTTTTTTTCTTCTCTTACGCACAAATTAAACACATCAACACACAACTCCCACTATTCATAAAATGCAAAAATACACACACACACACACACACACACCAGACAGTCTCACCAAAGCCATGAATCTCATAAACTTTCTTCTTATTTATAGTGGTCAATGAATCTGTTCTGTGACGCAGGGGAAGATAATAAAAACAGAAGCAGAGAGGAAAAGAGAGGAAGAGGAGGATGGAGAAAGAAAAGGGAGATGGTTAAAAGACTAAAAGGGAAAAAGTCCAGATGGATATGAAAGGAGCTGGAAGAACGATGGGAGAAAAATTTATGGGGAAGGATAAATGCAAAAGAATAAAATAGTAACAGAGGCTGGAGCTGAGGAAAAAGATCTGTAAAAGTAATGTGACTAAATCAGAGAGAGACTGAAGGCGATGGAGCTGCAGGGGGAGACTGGAGGAGGGAATAAAGAGGAATGACTAAAAACCAGAGAGTGCAGGAGAATAAAAGGAGGCCACAGAGTGGGGAAGTTTGAAAATGGCCAAAAAGAGATGTGAGGAGAAAAAAGTAAAACACTGAAGGAGTGAAAGGAAGGGGGCAGAGAGCATGAGATCACATCAGAAATGATTCATATCCTCTGAGCCTGACTCCAAAAAGCCCCGTGGCGACTGAGCTGACTGAGCTCAGAGAGACGAGACGAGTGAGAGGACGAGAGTGAAGAAAGTTTCTCTTCTTCATACAGACCTACATGACCACCTCGCTCGTGGAATAGTTGCCACTTGTGGACGTTTTGCTGGGTATTATTTTAGGGTCAAGCATCTGAACTTATACTCATACTCATTTTTTTCATTTGATTTTGTAGCTATATATAATCATACATCTGTCTAGAGTGCTTTATCTGGACTTTATATTTGTGAGCTGCAGCCAACTTGCTAGTAATCCCTCTGAAGTTATTTGAGTGATGCTGGTGAACTTACATTACAATACAACCGCAGCAAAGTTAGCAGCTAAAACGCTTCAAAGAAAAGGACAATTTATTGAAACGTGGGCTTTATTTTGGCAGCTCTGGTGCTATAAATTATGATAACACTGTATTCACCAGAGTCATTACTGAGATCTCAACATGTAGCAGCAGTGCTACAAAATAGGTCAGAACAGGGCGAGTTATCAGCAGTAAGATGATCAAACTGGTCACAAGCAAAATCCCAAACTTATTTGGAGGAAAAACACAAGGAAAAAATTAAAAATATAACTGTGTCCGTTGTAAACATTCATACCAGTCAATGACAGAACGACGTCACAGATCAAGATCTCAGTGATTACTTTGGTAAGTTCTCGGCCCGACCGATGCTGCACTTTTGAAGCCTTTTTTCAAAAAGAAAGGCTTCACATCAGTATGCATCTTGGGCATTACTGAGGAGGACAATTTACAGAGGAAGAATCAACATGTCTGTGTTTTCTTGGAGACAAAATATCCAGTACATGGAGACACTGTTCCTAAATTACCTTGGACCTAGTTTGGAATTTTTCTACCACAGTTTTTTGTCACTTATCAGCGAACAACACTGGTAACACTGATACCGATGTATCTGCACTGAGCCAGAGTCAGCTGATATATAATCCTGGCCTGTTAGCCGGTCTAGCCCTGAGTACAAGATTATCGCAAGTGATAGAAACAATGTCCAGGGCTAGATTTCACAAGACAACAGAGCTGTGGACTTGAGACTTGTTGACTTGAGACAGATTTAAGGTCCCGTTCACACCTAAGTGCAGGTGAGAATGCACTCAAGATCGCTCGGACCACATTGGGAGGTGGTCTGGTCCACACTGAAGCACCGCCTACTCAAACTGACGTCCTCTGGAGAAGTGGAAGTACATACTCATTCAGCTGTTTCTCAGATCGCATAATCTGTCTTTGTGTTCAACATCTGAAAAAGCTCATACAGATATATTAAGAGTGCATCAAACATCTTGGGGGATATGGTTTCCCTGGAAGGAACTGACCCACTTCTACTTGTGATTTTACACAAGTTTTACCTAAAATTTCCAGGATTAGATTTTCTGTTCCCTCCCACCAAGAACCCGTTCTCTCTCCTCCTGTGAGAGGAGGCTTTTAAAGTTTTGTTTAAAGTTGTCAGTAATCCTGCCGGCTCACATTTGGCATTTCAACAGACCTCTGAAGAGATAAATGGGAGAAGGTGTAAGAGAGCTGCTGATTATGCTTCAAATCAGGCAAATACTTTTTTTTTTTTTTCATTTAAATTTTTTCAGTATTAAAAAAAAATCCACAATTTCAGTGAATGCAGATACAAAGGGCACATATAATGCGTTATTTCCTATTACTGCAGTAATTCTTTCTTCTAAACCAGGGAACGACAAGCAAAGTTCAGAGACGAGGAAAAATGAACACTTCGATTTTTGCACTGCCTCCTGATCCACAGTCAAGTCCAGTTATATATATTTTTCCCAAACCTTACAAGAGCACACGCTTTCTCAATTGTTGCAGACAATCATTCGGGGCAAACTGTCTGCCCTGTAA